AAATCCTTAATTACCATAAAAATTCACCAAACTCTTACAATAGTTTAATCTATTACCTACATTTTAACACTGAGACATTTTTATATAAATTAATTTGCTGGCATAGTATGGAATATTATAAAACTATTATAACTATTTTTACACAGTTTTGTAACACAGGAAATGCTTATCCATATTTAAATGAAAATTGGTTTCTCTATAACTCTATCAGGTTAAAACAAATTTAAAAAGTTTTCAAAGTAAAAGAAACAAAATATTAACAGTAGTACTCTGAGCAGCAAGAGAATGGGAGATGTGTATTTGATCCCTTGCAGTTTTTATATCACCTAATTAATTATAATTAATTTGTAATTCATTGTGGTTTTCATGTGCTTGATTGTTTAGAATAAATCCCATAAGTAGTATTCCTAAGAATGCTCAGATACTCTTTGCCAAGTGAATAAAAAAAAAAAATCCAGCATTTTGTGAACCTCCAGTTTTACCTTCAGTGTTCTCTGTCCAGGAATCTCCAACTATTTTAGTCTATGCAGACACAGATGTGTATTTGGTGGAGAAGGGGCTGTTCTTCAGGGTTTCTATTTCCTAAATAGATTCGTAGATTTAAATGCATCTCTCTGAGGGTTGGAAAGCACTAGCCACACAGTTGATTCCTTTAGTTCTGGCCACAGGGTCACCAGATTTTTGAACAGGAATTTATGATGAATGGAGAAGAGGAGAATTGCTTTACTCTAGTGTTACTTTCTGTCAAGGACTCATAATAATTTGGTGTCAGAGTTTACCCAGCCTCCTAATTCATTTCAGGTTACTTTTATTTTTTTAATTTATAGGCATGGAAACACAAATTTAATTTTTAAGCTCTGACTTACCCACCCCAACTCACATATAAATAGAAGTATAAAATGTTATATAAAATAAGATAAAATGTCTGTAAAAACCCATTAGACTTCTACCTCTCCCTCATCTCCTTCCTGCCTACATATGTAAACAGTTTCCTTCCATTAGAAACTTAAGCACTTCTCCCTTAAATAAACCCCCTCCTCTATTTGTCTCTTTACTTTCACACCCGAATTTACTGTCCCCTTGGACTTCTGACTTCATCTGCATCAATGTGCTAAAACTCTTCCCATTCAACCAATGGTTGTCTAAATGTCACAATCAGTGCTTTTCCAGCAATCTCCATCTTCTCTACTACGTGACCTTTTCTGCTATGTTCTCCTTTTTTTGTCAGAACACTCCTCCTTACTGGCTCCATTGGTCCACCGTTCTGACCCTATCACCTTCTTTGTGGACCCTCTTTCTTTGACCCTTAATTAGAAACTCATGTTCTTCTGGAGTCTATATTGATTTCTTTTCTCACTTTTAATAACATCTTGGGTGATAACATTTACATCAATAATTAAACAATTCCTAAGCCTACCTATGACAATTCCAAGTAGTTTGACATCCTGAATGCATTATATACTAGCCAGTTGCCAAGCAATAAAGGATATTAGCTGGCATGTGAATCATAGGTCTTTCATCATTGCTGTATTACACACAATATGTTTCTAATTTGCTTATACATTCATATAAGTTCTAACTCCCAGATCTTTGTGCTACCCCGTTGGTTTCTAGTTTTTGTTTTTTGTTTTGTTTTGTTTTTTTGGTTATCATTTTTGTCTCCTGTACTATGTCATCTGGTTCTCCATACATATCTCTAAATTAGATTGTTTCTCTGATTTTCATTTCTCAGAGTCTCTTGCATGACATGTCTGCCTTGTAGTTTCTTCAGAACTACTGATATACTAGCTCTTGTGAAATCTAATCAAGTTGAACTGGGAGAAATATTTCAGGGAATTCTTACATTTGCCAGAGACCAAGAGTATATCCCTGACTGAAACAACTTGATGGACATTTTCCGGTCCCTGAGGCTTAAGAATATGACACGACAGAGAAAACACCATGCATACAATATTGCATTTTTCTTAACTGTGGATAATCTGCTCTCCAAACTCACAGATCTTACCTCTCACAGCTGTGAAAGCCCACTTCCCCCCAACAATGCCTTTCTTTGTGAGTTCCAGGGAAACACTGGGCCTCCTATTAAAAAGCCATTTGGAGTCCATATGGAGCTGTATATTTTTGCAATTCAAGATAAGGTTCTACAGAAGAAAGTAGAAGGGTCTCATTTCTTGTACCCCACTGTCCAGGAGGAGGAAAGATGGATGAACTGGCACATGCAAATTGGCTGTCCTTTCAGTGATGATTACAGATGTTTTCTAATCACCCTTCCAAAAAAGTTTCACAGAGTAGCTTACAATGACACAGGAAAATTTGCAATCCATTTTCTCCCATCAGGGAAAGATATAGGTGGCTAGTATGCTAGCATAAGACACCCTCATTTCTTCTTTTGTGGAATGATCCACAATCAGAAAATGATTCGAAAGGCTCTCAGCTAAGTGCTCACAATAAGCCAAGTTGTGCTCCGCAACCAACCAGAAGGATGAACAAAATACATTTTTAAAAATATTTGCATGTGGATGCTGATTAGAATCCATCTGTGACTCCTCACTGTCATTACACAAGTTGAATCCGTCACTGGAAGTGGAGCAAGGGAGTGGGGTTAAAGATGGATTAGTAAATGATGGAGCACAGCCACTTTTCTTGCTACTGACAGCACAAATAAGATGTGTACCATAGTTTCTTACAGTGAAACCGACCCCATGATCGTGGATGCCAGGTTTATATGGTAGAAAGCCTATTACTAAAGACACCATGTTCTGCTTTCCTCAAAAGCCCAAAAAAGTAGGCTTACTAGTCAAGGAGGACAGGTGAAATTCGGGTTTCTTGCTGCCAGTTCCACTAAGCATAAGTAGTACTGATCTTCAAACCTCCTGTCGTAGTTATTTCTGAGTGCTATAACAAAATTCCATAAACAAAATGGCTCATAAACAACAGATACTTATTTCTCACAGTTCAGGAGGCTAGGAAGTTCAAGACCATGGTGATCGAAGATTCAGTATCTGGTGAGAATCCACTTCCTGGTTCATAGCTAGCTAGCTATCTTTTCAGTATATCCTCATTTGGTAGAAAAAGCTAGGGAACTCTATGGAATCTTTTATAAGGGCACTGATTGAATTCATGAGGACTCCACATTCACGTCTAAGATTGTCCCAAGGTTCCACCTCCTTATGCATCACATTGGTCATTAAGACTTCAACATATGAATATTGAGAGGCCCCAAACATTCAGTCCAGAGTATTCCTAACAGTGAATCTTGGAGCAGTGGACAATGATACTATTCTTGCATATGGGGCTACAATTTCAATTGAGGCTCATGCCAAAATATGAATTCCAAGAATTCTGACCTAGAATGCTGACTTCCCCTGTGTAATATCATGTATCACATATCTGGGAGAATTATGTTTGACTACATTTCTTCTCAGCTTGTGGGGAGACAGAAAAAATGTTAATATTGATCCACTGGCAGATGTTCAATAATGACTTCACTCTTCTGTATTGGGGTATACAATGTAATGGGTGATATTTATAATTTCGTAAATTATACAAACCAGTGGTCTAAGCATGCTTAAATCTTCCACAACACCCACACCTCTCAACTAACAGGTAATTCTGAGTTCTGTGGCCACATTTGCCTGGCTATTCTAATCATAAATCAGCGAGCACTACAGACCATGTATTTGTATATGTTTGCTTTTAGCAGAAGCTAAACTAGTTCTCATTCAAGCAAGTCTTTTGTGTTATGTTTCTATGATTTCAGCAGTATAGTTGGAACGATTCAAACTACAATGGCTATGAGCCTTAGGTATTTTCAGGTGAAGTTAATCCTGTTTATTCTGTTCTTTAAAGCCCCCAAGATGTTATTTATTAGAGAGTCGTAAATACCTTATAATTTCAGGGAACACAAGAGATCACCCTATCCTACATTCTCTGAGCAATTCTACAGAACTTGGAATTAGCCAGCATAATCAGTTCTACACAAATGGCCAGCTAAATGTAATAGTGCCTGTTCCTCTGTTCTCTTTGCATCAGGTTTACTCCTCAAGTTCACTTCCTTGATATAGCTATAAAATTATATGGCTGTACCAATATATCTGCATCTTTGACATAGCTATAAAGTTTTTTAAATCTAGCTCTACTACCACTAATTTCTTTAATCCTCATTATTACCTCTCTTTTGATCCTTAATAACCGGTAAGAAATTAAAAAGTAATAATTTTCATTAAAATGGTATAAGATTGAGATTTTCAAAACAAGGAAACAAAATAAATAGCATTGCATACATACTCTAGAACATTTTACAAATAATAATGGTTTGGCATGAGAAAATGCTTTTAACAGGGATGTATGACTTAAGTATGATCCAATAATCACATACCCTTATCTAAATTAACATGAGAGGGGGCATATAACCTCACAGGGCCAATTTCTATTCTATCGATCATTTCTCCATGTTTATATATGTATATTTATATCTAAACTAAACAACGTTTCAGTATAAATTGTTTGTCAAAATACCATTTTTAAAAAAAAAAATCTATTGAATAATGATTTGGAACTAAATTATCTATAACTTTCTGAAATTGCCATGCTCACAAGAACACACCCTGAAGACATAAAGAACTTTGGCACTGAGGGACATTTGGGTGGTGCAGTTGGTTAAGCTTCCAAATCTTGATTTCAGCTCAGGTCATCATCTCATGGTTTGTGAGTTCAAGCCCCGCATCAGGCTCTGTGCTGACTGTAGGGACCCTGGCTCTCCATCTCCCTTTCTCTCTGACCCTCCCCTGCCCCACTCTCTCTCAGTAAATAAATAAACATTAAAAAAAAAAAAAAAAAACTTTGGCACTGAGCTATTTGTATGGGAACACAATTGGCTGAGTTTTTTGTTTTGTTTTGCTTTTGTTTTTGGGAGGGGGAGGCAGGAGAAGGGTTACTTAATGTTTTCCTATTTAAGGATTCTTTATCGTGAGAACCCAAGATAGTAAACGTCTGCTAAATCATTGCAAGCATATACAATGTTCATAATCCTCAAACATAAAGTCATTAGAGGGGAAACATTGATGCTGCTTTGACTCAGTCTAAGGAAGCGATGCCATGGGCTTCACAATGTCACAGGACTTTCCCAGAATTTCAGTGCCACCATGCATTACAAGATTATTCTGTAATAAAAACAAAACACACTTTCAGCTCCCTTTATTTTTTAAATACCTCCACACTTAAAAAGAAGAACAGCATAATAATTATAACATGAGTTCTGAGGTTAGACAGCCTAGGTGCAAACTCATCTGTACTCTCCCATTGTTTGATACCTTATTTAGCCTTTTTTTTTTTTTAAATGGGAATAATAATAATTACTTCCTAGGGCTGCTATGATAACTAAAATGAGATGATCAATTTTAAGTGCTTTGAAAAGGGCCTATTTCAAGGTTTTTTGAAATAATTATTATTCTCATAATAGTTCTATTTAGTCAATATCTGTTGAATATCTGTTATGTGGCATGGAATGCTAAGTGTTACAGGGAGTTAGCTCTAGGTAAGCACTGTAAGATTAACCATAAAAAATGGCAAATGTGATTCTAAGAAATAAAATTCTTTTAGCATCTGGATATTTTTCTTACAAAATATTTCATAAATGTGAAATCTTATTGCTATAAATGACATTAATATCTGCCAATCCATTTTCAAAGACTAAGTTTAATTTTAAAAAAGGCATTGTAAGAGTACTGGATAAAACTTAAAAAAAAAAACTCATGTAAGTTGTACTATCATAGTTACTATTTCATGTTGGCAAACGCAGCCTGCTTTTATCATAATATAATGCAGTGCAATCCCTCATTTGACTAAACATAGGCAAATGGCAAAGCAGCTGGTTATGCAATATTCTAGAAAAGCTTAAAAGACCCGGAGAAGAAATGAGTTGCTAAATGTTGTGATTGAATCAAGATTTTCTTGTCAAACATAATTAGCTGCAGATTGGAGTGGGTCAGTGGTCAGACTTGGTTGTCAGTACCTAACGTTGCAAATAGCCTTAGGGAAGCAAGAATCCTGTATTTTAAACTCGGATTGAAGGAAAACTATGAAGATGGAAATAGGGCTTTCACAGCTGCAAGGCTTGAAAAAATAACAAACAAAAAATCCACAGCTGTTATTTAACCTGTCTTGGCAATAGTTTTCTGTAGGATAGTTGGCAATCCTAGGATACATGGATGGTATGGAAACCAAATGTGTTTGCAAGATATGTCTGTCCAACATGGTCACTGATGATTGAAAGCATTATCATGTTCACATTGGCATTTACCACCTATAAAGTGAAAAATAACCCTTGTAATACAATCATTCCTGTAGCGACCTTAAAACAATGGAGATGTTAAATGGCTTGTGAAATGTAAAACATGATTCTCTTACGTTCAGCACTTGACACATACTATGTTAATTCTCTTTGACAGTATTCTTCCTTCTGATGAGTATTTTCTTTGCCATAGAAGTAATCATGTATAATCTTTCAATTTACTCTTCACTTCAGAACCTACATGTGATGATTTTATTCATATAGCAAAACTAAAAAAGATAATTTTATTATCCACCACCAGGTGGAAGACCTACAGAATATACACAGAAAGAATAAACTGTGTCTGATTTCTGTTTAGGGTGCTGTTAGGATTTCTACTGAATTGGTATGGGTTTATAATTTCTTCAGGATTTTAAACATGAAGGCAACTTTGGATTCTTCATGTAGAAAACGGCGTGGCATTCCAGAGCTAGCATTTAATGATCCTATCTTTATGAGATACAACAATAACAGGAACAATGACAACAATGGCAACATAGGTTTTAATTTGCTAATATTTCAGAGCTTTAAGGTGCACGGATTTCCATGCTCTTCCCCTTGCAAATTTTTTGGTAAGTGTATGTTTTATCCTTGAAGCACACTTTAAATGTTTAGATATAGATTCAAAGTGCAACTTATTCACTATTTTTTTATGTTTATTTATTTTGAAAGAGAGAGAGGGACAGAGAGAATGAGAACCAGCAGGGGAGGGGCAGAGAGAGAGAATCCCAACCAGGCTCTGCACTGTCAGCTCAGAGCTATGACAAGGGATTGATCTCACAAACCTTGAGGTCCTGAACTGAGTCTAAATCAAGAGTGGGACGCTTAACCAACTGAGATACCCAGGCACCCCCCACTATTTTTTTTTAAATCATGTTGTGGGTTGAATCATGTATCCTCACCTCTACAGATACGTTGGATTCCTAATCCTCAGTGAATGTGGTTTTACTTGGAGATAGGATCTTTACAGAAATAGTCAAATTAAAATGAGGTTATCAGGGTTGGCCTTTATCCAGTATGACCAATGTCCTTATAAAATAGGGAAATTTGGAGACAGGCACACAGAAGAAGAAAGCTGTGTGAATAATAAAGGCAGAAATGGGATGATGTTTCTATAGGCCAAATACTGCCAGCAAATCATCGGAAAGGAGAGGCACAGGACAGATTCTTTTCACAGCCTTCAGAAAGATCTCAGCCTTCCAGCATGTTTATTTTGGACTTCCAGACTCCAGAACAGTGAGACAATAAAGTCTGTTTGTTTAAGGCACCCCATTGTACTTTTGCTAGAGCTGTTAAGGCAGCTCTACAAACTAATGAAAGTAAAGTGCTGAAAAGGAGAAAATACAGATGGGCTAATTTTTTTGTTGATTTTCCTCTCACATAAACTACTTTGTTCGCAACAAGAATTGTTTCTTGCCTCTAATTGATTCACGTAAAATTAATCAAAGATTTGGGTTGCGTTTGCTTTTACTTGACATTTCCTTCAAAATTGATTTTGGGGGGTGGAGGCAGGGGTAACTCCTCTCTGGCCTCTGTTGACACATTCACTAGTTCACTAACTGGAGCTTTTGATGATTAACGCCACTCATCAGGCCCGCTCCTTCCTGCTTATGTATCATAAAGGTTTCCAGCAGCCCCCAGCAGTGTCATACTAATTCAGTACCGCAAAATTAGCAGCCGGAAACAAACCTTTGTAATTGTCTTCCTTTATAAACAGCATTGTTCATTCAGTAAAGGATAGCAGTTCCTGCCATAATTGTTTCTCCACTGAAAAGTTACTTTCTTTCCATCAGTCTTAAAAATCAATCAAAATGAATGCACATACAATTAACCAGGCTCCTGAGAAAGGGAACATTTCTTTTTCTTTGGAACTCCTCTGATTTCATCTCCGAGTGGGTCTATTGTGCAAGGATTTTTTTTAGGAAACACAAAGTACATTTAATGTGCCTTGAAGTTGCCATTGGAGAGAGTGGAACGACAGATGGAGCATGAATAAGTCTATGCCACTATCTTTTTTAATCTCAAAAAATCACTTTTTGTCTCAACAAAACTGTTCATTCTTTATACCATTTAAATGTGGAATTTGGGGCTTTCTGGTGTCCAAAGTCGAATACAGAAATTGTAAACTGAGGGTAGTGTTATGTATAGAAGGCAAGTATATAGAAATTGTTAATTTCTTAGTATGAAAGGGATTTCCTGTCAAGCATCCTTTGAAATAATATAATGCATCTTCTTCAAATTGACTAGAATTTTAATGGATGTAGACTATAGTAATTTAACAGTTTAGCAATTTTTATGATGTTGCAATTGTGAAAAATATTGAAGTACATCTTTGTATGGATAATAATAAAGTAATTATTTATTTAACGGCTGTGTGCCATTTTGTCTTCCCACCCATTCTCATTCACAGCAATGAATGAGAATTCTTATTGCTGCACATCCTCACCAGCATTTGGGGTTGTCAGTGTTCCACATTTGTCTATTCTAAAAAGTGTGTAGGGGTATCTTATTGTTGCTTTAATTTGCTTTTCCCTGATGACATAGGATGTGGAACTTTTTTTTCATATGCATATTTGCCATGTATATATCTCAAGGTCTTTGGCCCATTTTTTAATTAGGTTGCTTTTTACTAAAAAATTTTTTAATGTTTTTATTTTATTTTTGAGAGGGAGGGACAGAGTGTGTGTGAGCAGGGGAGGGGCAGAGACAGAGAGAGACACAGAGTCTGAAGCAAGTTGCATGCTCTGAGTTGTCAGTGTAGAGCCCGATGTGGGGCTTGAACTCACAAATTATGAAATCATGATCTGAGCCGAAGTCAGACACCTAACTGACTGAGCCACCCAGGTGCCCCTAGGTTGTTTGTTTCTTATTGTTGAGTTTTAAGAGGCCCCCTATGATACCTACTATACTTATATATATACTTATATACTCTATATATTTAGCATAATAGTCCTTTATCATATGTATCTTTTAAAAATGTTTTCTTCCAGCCTGTGGCTTGTCTTATTATTCTCTTGACATTGTCTTTCACAGAGAAGAGGTTTTCAATTTCAGTGAGGTCCAGTTTATCAATTATCTCTTTGTGGATTTTGTCTTTGGTGTGTTATATCTAAAAAGTCATTGCTATATCCAATTTTGCTATAATATTCCTCCTGTTATCTTCTAGGAGTGTTATGGTTTTAAGTCTGTGAGCCATTTTGAGTTATTCTTTTGTGAAGAGTTTCTGTCTAGCTTCTTTTTTCTTGTTGTTGAGTGTAGATGTCTAGTTATTCCGACACCATTTGTTAAAAAGACTGTTTTCCTCCTTTGTTAAAAATCATTTCACTATATGTGGGGTTATGTCCGGGCTCTCTTTTCTCTTCCACTGATCAGTTTTCAGTTCTTTCACCTATACCATGCTTTCTTGAGTACTAGAGCTGTAAAGCAAATCTTTAAGTTGTATAGCATTAGTCTCCAACTTTGTTCTTCCCCTTCAATATTGTTTTGTCTATTTGAGGTCTCGTGCCTCTCTATATAAACTTTAGTATCAATTTGTAGATATCTATAACTTGTTGGGAATTTGATTGGGATTGCATATCTTACTTTATTTTTGTGCTAAGAACTCAATCAATAAAAGCAATATCATACTAGCAAATTGAAAGAATAATTCCTCTTAGTTGCATCTTTCTGCTGGGTTGAGAAAAAAAATAAGAGAATTGCTCTCATAATAAACTCTGTTCTACATAGAATGTCATGTAAATTAGAAAAATAGGACCACATTTCACCACTATTTGGTGAATGTCAGCTGAAAAACGCCATAACATGGTGACTTTTCAGGATCAGTATGGTGCTATTTAAGATTGTGTTCACATGCAGGTGGCTTTGAATGGTGCCATAGCAGGTGATTTGTCTTAATCACCTGGTTGACTTGATGTCATGCAAACACTTTGCTAAAGAGATTTGGGTATATGCTCTCTTGTGATTAAGTTGGGTTATACGTTGTTATTTACTATTACTAAAGGTGTATTAAATTCTAAAAACTGGTTTTATCTACCACGTTAAGATAAATGACGGGTCATGCATTTAAAATAGGGGCGTAAACATGTATTTTTTTGTTCAAATTTGACACATATATTTTAGCTGTAATTTCTTGCGAGTGTATAATATTCTCTAAAAGAGGCAATTTACTTCAGCAAGGCAATAATTTAACTTGCAATGTGTTTAACCTCTAGTGACCAAATATACTAAACAGAGAAAATATCTACAAAGGTTGCAAACAAGTTTTTTGTTTGTTTGTTTGTTTTTTTGGGTTTTTTGGCTGAGTAAAAATAACTTGCTATTCATATTATTATTTTGTTTTGGACCTGTTGAGTTGAGCAAAATGATATGAATGAGGTTCTAGCTGAGATTACTTATTCAAGCAAAAACAGAATTAGAAGGGGCGGTGACACATACATCATTGCCACTATTAGAAGCAGCTTCAAGAATTCCATCTCAGTTGAGGGCATTAAACTCTGTAAATGACTGGGCAAGGCAAAATTATAGTCCACTAGGATAATTATAGTCCGCAGTCATATCTAATGGGATCTGCATAAATCAGAGTATTGTTTGCCACAAAGTGTATTTATACTTGTCAAATGATTGTAATTGGACATTTGCAAAGGACCATTTCAATTTATAAACAGGACTTTTAAAATGAATATTTATAAAGCACTTGTTAAGGAAAATAAATTTACTCAGGTAATTTTGAACTGTGATTTTTACAGCATGTAATATAAAACCACCTCTTCTTAAAGAAATCTCTGCTAAGCCTCTGTTAATGATAAAGCTCAAAAATTAGATAGAGATGGATATGGTCCTTTTAGTAGTTTACAGGGCAAAATATTTCATAGTATCTATATATCATCAAACAAACAAACAAACAAGCAAAGAGGAGCACAAATTTAAATTCCAAGCTGTGGAGCTATTTTTTTTTTTTTTTTTTTTTTTTTTTATGGAGGGAATAGCACCAAGGTGATACACACTGGTAAACAGATATATACCCCAACCTGTACAACTTACATAAAGTGTGACAGATAATTCTACCTCGATTATAGAACTTTCCAAAAGATGCGAGTAATGATTTATTACAGAAATTATCAAGAATTAGGGACTCAAGGGGTGCCTGGGTGGCTTAGTCGGTTAAGCATCGGACTTTCGCTTGGGTCATGATCTCGCGGTTCGTAGGTTCGAGCCCCACATCGGGCTCTGTGCTGACTGCCAGCTCAGAGCCTGGAGCCTATTTCACAGTCGGTGTCTCCCTCTCTCTCTGACCCTTCCCTGCTCATGCTGTCTCTCTCTCTCCTAGAAATAAATAAAACATTAAAAAAAAAAAAAGAATTAAAAAAAAAAAAGAATTAGGGACTTAAATGAGGCTTTAGACTACCGTATATTCTACGTTGGAAAACACATTTTTGGATATAAATTATTTTTTATCTTATTCAGTATTACTTCATTTTTAGTCGAATTAGTTTATAGAACAGTTCCTTTTCAAAGAAACTTTATTATTAGCATTACCTGTTATAAAGTATGAACAGCCAATATAAGAACTCAATTCCTTCAAACCATTGACTGGCCACCTACTCTGGGCCTATTTATGTTAATCCAATGATTATTCTATCTATCATGGGTACCATTAGTGGAAAATATACATTCTCATTTATTGCAAGGACATGGCCCACAGAACTCTTTCTGGTTTCTGATTCTATTGATTTAGTTTGGACTGCCAGAATCTAAGATGTCTCCAATAAAAATAAGCCCACAGCGGGGCGCCACGGTGGGTTAGTCGGTTGGGCGTCCGACTTTCGCTCGGGTCATGATCTCGCGGTTCGTGGGTTCGAGCCCCACGTCGGGCTCTGTGCTGACTGTCAGCTCAGAGCCTGGAGCCTGTTTCAGTCTGTGACTCCCTCTCTCTCTGACCCTCCCCTGCTCACGCTGTCTCTCTCTCTCTCTCTCTCCTAGAAATAAATTAAAAAAAAAAACATTAAAAAAAGAAAAAAAGTCCACAGCAGAGAAGCTTTTGTGGCCTATTTCTGCCTCCTTTCCAATATGGAGTTTGTTTGATTCCCCTTTGATCATCCAAGGTTCAATACCTCCTCTACGTTAATCAGGACTATACTGCCATAGCCACTGGTTGAAAGAAAACAAGGGCATTGAAGGGGAAATGGTGCGAGTCACAAAAACCTAGGGCCGTTTTAGTTCTATCAACATCCCTTTATTCTTATTGGCAAAACTTCTTCTTCTACCCAACTCTACCCAAGTAGAGCGCTCTAGATTTGTTGTTAACAAAAAAGCTTTTTCTCCAACACGTACAAGAAAGCTTTGCTTCTTTAGGAGGAAAGACAGTTTTGGATTTCCTCTAGAAATTAGAGGACGGTCTTTCAGCTCGTCCTAACACCTAACTTATGTTAGGAATTGCTTGTCATTCCCTGATAGGAGCAAATACTTTCCCAGTCGTAATTAACATTTATTCTGCCTTCCTAGAAACTTTCCCATTTGTCTTTGATGCCTAATTTATTTTCATCACTCAAGATTCAGTTCAACCAATATATTGTCTTCGCTTTTTTTTTTCTCTCACTCATAGTCTGTGTCAGGTAATGTTCTCTGAACTTTCTGCATTTTGTTGATAAAACTTTTTATAATATCTAAAAAAATGATATTCTCAACTTAACTGTGTAATCCTGTGTTCAGAAGCCTCAGACATTAAACTCTGTGTTCACAGTGTCTACATCTGATGGACACATTTTCAATCTACAGGTGGATTATGATAACTCCTATGAGTCATGATGATAACTCGTATGATCTGCCTGGGCAAAACCTTCCAGTGCCTTTCTGTATGTCAGTCTGTAGTTATCTACTCCTGTGTTGCAAGGGATCCTGGCATTATACTTATCAAATTGTCTTTCTTTAAGGATCTTCAATGAGATTAATATTCTGCTAACCACATATATTTATATGAGATTTTTGAGATATAAAGGAATAATAATAATAACACATTGCTTTTTTTTGTAAGAGTGGTACACAAACACATAAGCTTCAAAGACATGACTTGTGTAGCAACTTACCCCTGTGAGTGCCGTGGGCACCATGATGATGAAACATTCGGATGTCAAAAAGGCGGCTTTTACAGAAGCACTGCAAACATTGAGGGGAAAATGGATATGGAAAATCCATATCCAACAGGTTTATTTCTATGAGGAGAAATCTCTGGCCTCTCCATTATGAAAAGGATCTCCTATAATTATCCTCCCACCAGGTGACTGGCTGGTTCCCCTGGGACATAAAGCCCCATTATTGAGTCAGTGTTGACCTTTACATTGGCTGGCTAAGCACTTGGCACCAATGGTGGCTCCAGGTGAGATCTGCGAGGGAAAGTTCATGTTTATAGCCTATGTAAGCTCCACTTGGACTAACATGGTCACGCTGAATGTGAGCCAACTGAACAAGCATCAGAGTAGCAAAGAAGGTATCAACAAATTCAGATACCACCAGCTTAGAAAGCTCATCTCAGCTTTCCATTTTGGGTCTATTTCCTGGCCGTACAGTTAAAACACTATACCATTTAGTTTTTGGCATAGTGTCCAATATAATATTGCTTAACAATAGGGACAGAGAGTCATAGGTCTGAATCTGGGATTTTCTTTTGGGGAGTTACTTTTTAATACTCCCTGGAAAACTACAGGAACCCACTAAAGACAGAATCAACAAAGTTTCTGACCCCTTTGTAAATGAAGATTTAAATCACACCAGCTAAATGTTGGAGGAAAGCAAGGGAACAATGAATGCTCAGTAAAAGGACAAACTAAAACTTTAAACTACAGCTCTGTGACCCATTGCAAACCAGAGAATTTTAATAATTATACATATCTATATAGTCTTACTTGTCTTATTAGTTATATGTTTGTGCGTGTTAGCTTTTTATCTACTCCTTATACCTCATTTACTAATTTCCATAAATTGTTGATGGTTCATATAAATTAATTTTTAGGAACTAAATATATGAAAGATGAATTGCAGCAAAATTTAAGGAAGAATTACTGTTACTCAGGGATGGATATAGTGATTGGTGGTAATTTGGGACCCTGTTTTGAGGGGACAGATTGAGACATTTTTGCATGAAGAATAGCTTTATTATATTAGAAATAATCATGTTGTTTTTACTATTGCTGAAGATTGAAATTTTAAATATTGGCCAAAGTAATAAATACTCTTCTACCTATTGTTTCTTTTGGCCTCCAGCATTTGTTCTCAGACTCTTTTATATTCTTCTTTAAGCCTGGTAACTAAATTTTTCAGACTCCCTCATGTCCATATTTCAGTACATAATTCATGTTAAAAAATAAGATTCTATATTTTTCTTTGACTCTTTAGCACATATCATTATCTAATATACAAAGTATTTTATTTACATATTTTCAGTCTCCCACACTAGAAAGGCAATTGTACAAGGGCAGGAATTTTTTGACAGTATGTTTCCCTGCTATACCTTCAGTGCCTAGAAACAATATGTTGCACATGGTATGGGCTCAAAATATTTGCTGATTAAATGATTAATAAGCAGATGAGTATTAAATGTAAGAAGAAATATAAAAGAACAACTATTTTATGTGGAATTGCATATTGAAATATTTTAAATGGACTAAGGATCATCTCAATCTTTTGGTTGCTAAGACATATTGAGTGATTAGCTTGGCTAATTTTTCAATTATGTAATTTTATAAGAATATTTAAATTATATCAGAACATACAATATTCAAAATGAAAGTACATAAAAGAAAATCTGAAGTCCAGGTGAGTGTGAGCAATAAGAAAATTCCTTAAATTTGTAAACAAAAAAGGCGCCTGGGTGGCTCAGTGAGTTAAGTGTGTGACTTCAGCTCAGGTCATGATCTTACAGTTATGAATTTGAGCTCTTCATTTGGCTCTGTGCTGACAGCCAGCCTGGACCTGGCTTCGGATTCTGTGTCTCCCTCTCTCTGCCCCTACCCTGCTCGTGCTCTCTCTCTCTCTCAAAACTAAATAAACATTTAAAAATTTAAAAAAAAAGTTGTAAACAAAAATATTTAATAAATGAAGCACACGAATAGTAAAGTGGCCAGTGGTTGCATCACTGAATAAAAAGTCATTGGTTGCACAAGTTAAATTGCATACCACTTATAGTGATATGAGTGAAAGAAAGTGAAAGCAAGTACATAGTGAAAGCAAGTCATTGTGCAATTTGTTGCTTGTAATTTTCTTATCCTGAGCACTAGATGTTATTTTATTTTTAATAATTTTTCTACCTAAATCAGAGATGTGCCCTTATTACTGGTGTTTGTGTCCATCTCCCCAAAGGAATTGTCAACTCCTGGAGGGCGAAGTCATGTATTGGTTATTTATCTTTGTACCTTTGTATTAGAATGTAGCATAGCTCTTTTCCTAGAAGTGGAAAAGTGAATTTTATTGAATCAAATTGAATGATAACATCTGAAGTGTCTTTATAGCTAGCTAGAGATCCTCCACACTTAGTGAGTTAGTTTCAGAAATGTTGATAGCCCATTGACTAAGCCCATATAAAAGCAGTACAACCTTAACTTAAACAGTAAGCTTTCTAAACAGAATCATAATTAATGGATTGACCAATTGTTTTTTCCTGGAGGGGGTATTTTATGCCATTTAGTATTCTCTTTCAACCAAGCACAACCTTGCAAAATTAGCATAGAAATCATGTCTTTCAAATTATTTAAATAACTCTTAAAACATATCATAATTATGTTATCAGTCATTTGAAAATTCCGGTATCAAAGAATTCTGATATCTCACTTTGATATCAGAAAACTTTATTTATTTATTATTTTAATAAAAAACAACCTCCTAAACTGTTGCCTAAACTTAATATAACATTCTCTACTTGGACTTGAAAGAGGAAAAATATACACGCTCATCTATATATTGTTATTCAGCTTTTGACCTTATTTTATTTAATTATATATCCTGTGTTTATTATGAATCTCCTTTAATGTAGATGAGTCTCTTTTCCCCTGTAGTACCTCGTGAACTGATAGTTTTGACATTTCTTCCCCAAAAAAGCATGCATAAAGTGTCATCATAAAATCTAATTTACAACTGTCCTATATTTGAATACAACTGTTTCTACACACTCGACTTAGTTATACCTCTTGTTAAATAAATTTGCATGTCATATGTGAGATTTTGCTGACGATGCCTATTCCATGAGAGACTCAATTGTCAAAGTGTTATCTTCATCAACTTGAGATTTCAAAAACAAAAATCAACAACCTCTTTCATTTCACTTTTTCTGAAGAACAATTTTATCTAACAATTGTTAGATAGTGAAAATTATACTCTTCCATTTCAGAGAAAAAAATCATTACTAATGTAATGCCTTTTCAGTATTAGATTCAATGCTGTTATTTGTTGTAGAAATACAACTCGAAATATTACAAATATGCATATTCTAAAAATATATGCAGTAGATTTCTATAATGCTAAAATGCCAGTGATTATTATATTATTTTAAATGTTACTGAATGGCCCAAATTTCATTTAAAATATTTCTACCATTTGAGAAACATATTGCAAAGAATTTGAAGTGACTATTGGCTGATTTAGTAAACTGTGTTCTAATTATCTGCTATATATTAGAAGCACCACTAAATTTCTAGTCATCCTGGAGAGATTAAGGAAAGGAGAGCAGTTTCCTTGGGAGCAGAGCTGGTTTCTAGAAATGGATCTATTTCTAATGATTTAAAAAGTACTAAGCTTTATTTATTCACCTGTAAAATGTGGGGTCCTATACTTGTGTCTTGATTCTGGGCAAGCGGCAAGATATTTAAAGTGATAAGAAGTGTTTTGCATATTTTGAGGTGCACAGAATGATAAAGTAGTATTTCTGTATCTCTTGTATTTCTGAGGACAGCAGATTGAGGTTTGAAGCTCTGCAACGGAACTCTGTGCAGGCAAAGGGTGGAGTGAGGGCTTTTGGCAGCTGGAGAAGAGTATGTACAATTGAGATAAAGTGGGCTGGGAAGGGTGTGTACTTAGGGCTTGACATCCATGCAAATTCTCTCTCTCGCTCTCTCTCTCTTTTTAGAAAGTTTATTTATTTACTTTGAGAGAGAAAGGAGAGGCAAGGGGAGGGGGAGAAAGAGAGAATCCCAAGCAGTCTCCATGCTGTCAGCACAGACCCCAATGTGGAGCTTGAACTCATGACCCATGAGATCGTGACCCGAGCTGAAACCAAGAGTCCAACACTTAACCGCCGGAGCCACCCAGCGCCCCTCTTCTTCTCTCCTATGCACATGTACTTCTGACCTATACCATATCTGTGCTTCCCATCTTCACTTTGGATGTTTCAAGCAGGAATTCTCTGGACATTTCACATCATTTCTGTGAATCTCACCACCATGTGGAAGCATTTACCAAGTCTTATCAATTTTATCTCTGGAAAATTGCCTTTTATTATTTACTACAAAATTATATGTAGAGCCTATATTACATTGATATTTTATATTGTTTACCATGATAATACTTAGTTTCATCACAATACATATATAACATGATATTTGGGATATTCTCCCTCCTAAGCCCACAGCTCAAAGTATTAGTACTACTGTTAAAGAAAGTAAAATATAGAAATTATTTCATTCCACAATACAGTGCTGTCAGATATATACAACAATGACAACAAAAACAAAGACAAAGTAATTTAAAATTGGAATAGAAGCAGCACTTTGTAAAGCACCATTTATCTTGAGAGAATATTCATGCGCTGTTAAGGGAATGGAATAGATAAGTTAATATGTTTTTGCATATTTAATTTCTGTGATCCTGTGAGGTCTGACAGTTATTAAACAAGTAATTAAGAGGCATTATGCAATTATAGTCTACTTGTGCTCGTATATGATGCTTACTCTGAAATTTAACTATCATAGCTTTCATCATAGACATTTAGAGTCAAATTTTAGGAGGTAATATGTGAACTATATGACTTAATTTTTAAGATAGCTTTTTTTACATAAAAATGTAAGAATACAGTTAGTACTGTGGTGAAAGCTTATTAGTATTTTTTCATAAATCAGATTTATTAATGAGTCAAATTTACAATAAAAACTTTCAAATTTTGAAATTTTAAGTTCATAATACCCTACATAGAAGTGCAGTCAGTGCCTTAGGGTGTGGCTGGTGAAGCTAATGGAACAGAATGTAACATATTCTGCTCATTTAGCATT